CTTAGGACTGCAACCTCGAGTCTGCCACTTGCTGACGAGTCCGACATACTACAGGCGACATCTTTAGGGTTAAGGGTTTAGGGTTAAGGGTTTAGGGTTTAGGGTTCAGGGCTCAGGGCTTAGGGTTTAGGGTTTAGGGTTTAGGGTTTAGGGTTTAAGGTTTAGGGTACAGGGTTTAGGGTTTAGGGTTTAGGGTTTATCGGGTTCAGGGTTTAGGGGGTTGAGCTTGAAATACCCCTTCCCAAAGGCCTCAAACCCTAAACCTGGGCTTAGGGTTCAGTGCGTCAAGGGGGTTTGGGGCTTTTGGGGTTTAGGACTGAGGGGGCTTGAAAGAACTCACCCTCACAGGACCCCTAAACCCTACTTAAAGGGTCATGGGACTTAGTAACTGAGGCTATACATAAGGTAACTATGCGTATATTTACTTGTAACCCCAATTAAGGTACTTATAACCCTACTTACTAAGTCCCAAGATCCTCCAAGTAAGGTGCTTCTGCCGGCTGTTTGAGTTGACAGAGGGTCTCCCCGGTTTGCAACTCTTTCGCGCGGTTTGCACAACTTCATGAGGGTTTTATGGTGATTGTTTTAGGTTCAAGGACCTAAGGTAACTAAATGCTTTTACAAAACTTCATGAGGGGTTTATTGGTGATTTGTTTTAGGGCTTGCTTCAAGGACCTAAGGCAGTTTAAAGGCATGTAATATATTCGTTCTCCTTGAAGCTACTGTGGAGGAACCACCTATAAGGGCCAAGGTATATGCAAAAAGGTATACCCTAAACCCCTAAACCCCTGTATATCGCCCCCCTGCGGGCAAGGGTTGTCGGGTTTGGTGCAGATCGGGGCTTGGTTTAGGGTTGAGGGGTTTGGGGTTTACGGTTTAGGGGTTTAGGGTTTAGGGTCTAGGGTTTTGGGAGCAGCCCTTGGGGTTTGTTTGATATTATACATTTCGGTGTTCATGTCCTGTATAGCATGGAATAGAAATGCTTACCCCTCCACCCCACTTATTATCTAGCTCGGACCGTGCATAGCTCCTAACTGAGAAGTCTACCTTAAACCCTAAACCCTAAACCCTAAACCCTAAACCCCAAGCCATAAACTTAAACTCTAGAGCCTCGGACCTAAACGCAGAACCTCGATGCCAACCCTGTCGTTGGTTTGCAGATGTGATAGTTAAAAGCTTCGGGGTGTCAGGACATAGGTTTATCATTTTGGTGCATATTATATGGGGGCCTGGATAGTACCCACAATGTCAATGTTGTTTCTTGGGGATCCGCCGAAGCTTCTATGTTTCTTTGTTGGGATCAGCCGAAATTTGTAAAGCCACATGCCAGCCCCATCAGGAAATCCTACTGATTCACCAAGCCCTGAAATGAGGGGGGTTAAGTTTCAGGCTGGTTTTGGGCTTGAGTGTTCCAGTAGCATAGTTTATTCCTGTTGTTGTTGTTGTTGATGTTGTCGTGGTATCAGATGACCCAGCATCAGAAATTCTGTGGACCAAGAACGGAAATGCAGCGGAGGCGTTAAAGACACGGGCCGATTCTGATTGCTGTAACCCGCCTTCTAGAATCCTAGAACCCTAAATCCCAAACTCCATACAAAGCCTAAACCCTGATTGTTGCCAGCCCTCTTGTCTTGAAAGTATGTACCATGGAGTTACTTTGGAGTTACTATGGAACTGGTAAGCTAATCCCCCCAAACCTTGTAAATCTCTAAAGCGCATCCTACAAAAAGTGCACCCCGTAGAGGTGTTACTCTAAAGCACATCCTACAAAAAATGCACCCCGTAGAGGTGTTACACTACAGTTATTAAGCGAAAAACTAGGACCCTCATATCGCAACCATGTACTTGTTAATTCCCCTAACCCTTAACCCTAAACCCTAAACTCCTACACCCCAGCTGGGGACCCCAAAATCTACCACCAAAGCAGCGGCCAAGGACGACGGCGACTTTGGAGGACCTGGCTTTCTGCCTAATCGGTGATGCGCCCATGTTTGTGCACCTGTATGCCAGTGTGTGTATATGTACGTATGTCATTATGTATGTATGTAGGTATGTAGCTATGTAGCTATGTAGCTATGTATGTATGTATGTATGTATGTATGTATGTATGTATGTATGTATGTAAGGTATGTATGTATGTAGTCATGCACGCACATACACTCCTGTGTACCTACATATGCATGTGTGATAATATGACTATATATATATACATTCGCACGCACACACGCACATAATATATATATATATATATATATACATATAAAAATATGTATGTATGCATGCATGCATGTGTATATATATATATATATATATATTATATGTATGTATGCATGCATGCATGCATGCATGCATGCATGCATGCATGTATGTATGTATGTATGTATGTATGTATGTATGTGTGTGTATATATCCTTACATGTATACATCTATGTATACTATGTCTATGGTTATGTAAGTGAGTGTATGTATGTATGTATGTATGTATGTATGTATGTATGTATGTATGTATGTATGCATGTATGTATGTATGTATGTATGCATGTATGTATGTATGTATGTATGTATGTGTATACATTAATATATAAATATACATATATATATATATATATGTATATGAATATATATATATATATGATATGTATGTATCTGTATGTATGTATGTATGTATGTATGCGCCTATCCGTATGTACAAGTATATGCAGAGATACACGCAGGGTTTTGGCTATGCCTTCTACCTATCTACCGTAGGCTTCTCGCGCCTCCAAAAACAGGAGGAGGATTCGGAGACGACGGCTTCGGCGATGATGGTTTCGGCGGTGATGGCAACGGAGACACCGACGGTGGTGGAGGCGCCTGAGGAGTACTTCGTATAAGGCTGTCCTTCCGCAGTATTGCGCAAGGTCTTAACCGCAACCCCAAAACCCCTGCATCTCCGCAGAGTTCCTGTCCCAGCGTTTCCGTCGAAGATCTTGAAACACTACGACTACAATTATGCCACAACACTAAGCTTCAGAAAGCTCCGACGCCTTGTCATCCCAGACGATCCTCCAAACGATGGTGGAGACGATCCTCCGAACGACGGTGGAGACGGTGGAGATCCTCCCGCGGATGGTGACGATGGCGGCTTGGGTGCCATAGGAAGAAGGGCCCTAACCAAAGAACCAACAAGACAGGAACTTCATCGCTCAGTATATCTTAACCTCCTCCTCCTCTGCTTACAGAAACCTTATAACAAACGTTGCTCGTTACAACTCGAACCACAAACCGCAAGACCCTCAGCAAATATCGAGAGCCCAGGACTCTAGACGCTGAGCCCTGTACCCTGAACCCGAAACCCAATTATAAACCCTGAACCCTAAACCCTATACCCTGAACCCGAAACCCTAATATAAGCCCTAAACCCTAAACCCTGAATCCTAAACCCTATTATAAGCCCTAAACCCTAAACCCTCGACTCCTGGATCCCAGGAGATGATGGTGATGAAAGGTTGTTGCGGCTGTAGGACCACGAAAGTCCTTGTCGCTGGCCTTGCTGACGGCATGCATGTAGGTAAACTTTAAACTTTTTTTGGTATATTAAACCCCTACCAAAAGAAAAGTTTAAACTTTTTTGGTATATTAAACCCCCTACTAAAAGAAAAGCTTAAGCTTTTTTGGGCCAGGGTATTGGGCTTAAAGGTGTTACTAGGGAGTCTCACAAGATCCTTATCGCAAGCACACCTCAAAGTCTAGGAGTCAAAATAAGTCTTTTGGGGAACATATTATATAGGATTTGTTAAACCCTAAACCCTAAACCCTAAAACCTAAAGTAAAAGGAACCTCACGGAAGAGTATTGCAACTTATGCAGGCTCCTATAGTGCATTAGGGTCATCAGGGTCTCCTTCTTTCAGGAACCTCCGTTGACCCTTACCCTTTATTGCAAGATAGCCCTGCGCGAGGGACTCCTGTGGGGATTTGGGGTTGCAGGGTTTAGCGTTTAGGGCTTTGACTGTCGAGTGTAAGATGTACGGGGTTTAGGGTTTAGTTAGGGTTTGCAGGGGTTCTGGTTGTGGGTACTGGGTTGCTTCGGCTGCTAGCTATACTCTCCATTGAAAGTATTTTGTTGCGTATCTAGCTCTTTGGTGTCAGTTGTGGTTAGGCGGTTATCGGGCAAGATCGTCCAAACAAACACAGAAGAGCATAGATGGATCTTGCCAAGCCTTAAGCCTTAAATTCGAGACCTGACCCGAATCGCCTTGAACACTGCTACAGCCCAAGGCCAGAACCCTACTTTGGGTCTAGGGGTTTAGGGTTTAGAGTTTTGGGTTTGGGGTTTAGGGAAGTAGCAAACTAACACCGAAACCCGATCTTGGGCCGGTAGTGACCTGATACCTAAAACCAACTCCGCGACCCGAAGCCTTTAAAGAAATCCACACATGGGCCCTCAAAGGACCCATCAAAGGAAATCTAGGAACCGGAAGCAACCCTAAGAAGCCACAATAAGGAATGCCTACTACGGCGCCCCTGTAAGGGTCGTTTAGGGTTTTAGGGTTTAGGGTTTAGGGTGTAGGGTCAAGGGTACTCTTGAAGCTTGAATAATTATCGATGCCCTTCCTTCGGCTTGATAATTATGATTGTGCTACAATGTTCCCACAAAGCCCCGTTCTGTTGACATGGTAGGCCCCTATGATAGCACGCTCTACTTATAAGACAATGTGTTTTGCAGGTTCTCGGTTTTGCGGAGCAGCATCTCTCTCTGTCTGGGAAAGTATTGGGGGCATTTAGCTTCTCTGGGGTTTGGGGGTTTAGGCTAAACGATTTAGGGATTAGTAAGGGGTCTGAGGGATCTGTAAGGGTTTTAGAAGTCTAAAACAGGGGCCATAAAGGGGATACCTCTACTAACTGGTGGGGTCTCTATGTTAAAAGGTTGGCTTGGGGTTCAGAATGTAGAGTCTTTGGTATAACGGTTTCCTTACTCCCGAGGCCCTTAAGGCCAAACCCTGGGGCCTGCATGAGTCTACACTTAGGGTTTAGGGTTTAGGATTTCGGGTTTAGGGTTTGGGGTTTAGGAACGACAACTTCGCAACATACTCCCCTGCAGCTGCTTGCTGCCATCCTAGACCCAACTAGTGCAGAAGCTTGGATAAGTATTAGGAATACAGCAACACTGTTCCAAAGCAGGGTACCTTTAAAACACTTGAACTATGAGATAGTCCAAGACCCTAATCTTAGGATTCCCTAAACCCTAAACCCTAAACCCTAAACCCCATATTCATATGACCAGGTTATCAAGTCCCTGGGCTCTTAGGTAAACAGTAGGGGTTTAGGGTTTAGGGTTTAGGGTTTAGGGTTTAGGGTGCACCATCGGATGATGTTGGATTTAGGGTTCAGGGCCTAGGGTCGTAATTGGGTTTTGGTGTTCACCTTCCGCTTAAGTTAATTTGGGTTTACTATACAGAGGGCTGTGCCTCATTGTTCACTTCAATAGCCCTTCCGGCTAGAGGCAATGCAAGTGACCCTAAACCCTAAACCCTAAACCCCCAGTTCCTGCATCACGCCGCCGGCAAAGGCCAGTGTGCACTGTTTAGCAGCCGGTTCGGGATGGTGTTCCCCTAGCTGAGCTTGATCCGCTGACGCCCCACCAAAGAAGACTGGCTCTTGTTACTAGGTGTAGGGTTTAGGGTTTAGGGTTTAGTTGTTACTTCATACCAGATATCAGACTAAGTCCCAGTTGGGACTGGACTTGGGACGGCTAGGGGCTCCGGGTTGGGGTTCAATAGGACTTTTAGAGGGTTCAGGGCTTTAGGGTTCAGGTTTTTCATCGGGTTTGGGGTTTGAGGGTTTCTGTGGACAAGGGCACCACCCTATACCGGCTTCTGCTCGCCTCTAAACACAGAGGGTGAGCGCACGACGAGCGTCCTGGAGCGGTAGCCGGTAGCCATTCTGGCTCGTTTTTTTTTTCAGTGATTCTATACGGGTTCTTCCTACAAGGGTCTTTCTAAGCGTGCGCGAATAATTAGGGTTGCTTGTAAGGGTTGTTGGAGGGTCCAAACGACCTACTGCTCAGGTATTTGGGTTTTGGATAGCTTGTGTTTTTAGAGCGCAGTGTATTTGGGAGAGTACTTGGAGGGTCGGGGGACTTAGTAAATAGGTAGTAAGTTGACTTATAAGTACCCTAAAAGGGACTCTAATCGTGGATCTGACAGTTGTAAGTCTATAAAATAACTACCTACTAAGTCCCCCGACCCTCCATGCATGCCGAGTCCTAAACCCTAAACCCTAAACCCTAAAAACCTTAAACCCTAAACCCTAAACCCTAAAATCCCTAAACCCTAAACCCTAAACCCTTAAAACCCTAAACCCTAAAATTATCAGGAACTTGGACCCGTGGACTTCTGGCTGAGGCTGCTGCCTCACGCAGTTCCGTTGCATAGGGTTTAGGGTTTTTAATGCTTTTAGGGTTTAGGGTCTAGGGTTTTTTAGGTTTAGGGTTTTTAGGTTTAGGTTTTTTGGGTTTATGGTGTAGGGTTTTTAGGGTTTTTAGGGTGTTCAGGGTTTGTACGGTTTTAGGGTTTTTAGGGTTTTTAGGGTTTAGGGTTCAGGGTTTAGGGTTTAGGGTTTAGTGGCCGATTTATATACTGCATGGGTACATGTTTCCTGGTCCAATGGAGTTTCAGAGATGTAGGTTGGGATCTAGTCACAGTCTACGTAAAACCTGTGAACCAACTGCCGTACTGCGAACTGTAACAATTGAGACTATAGGTGGACCGGCAGACCCTTCATAGGATTCTTGCAGTTACGACCCTGAAAAGCTTACCCTAAGGGTCCATATATCCATATGAGCATACTTTGACCCTAAAGTACCTATATAGGGACTACTTTAAGGCCCATATACCATATGAGTACATGGACCCTTAGGGTTGGTGAATATTCCTGAAAAAGTCCAGGGGAGCCATAGATGTCGTTAGTGAAAGAGACTATAAGATGCGAACCCTACACCTCTAGACCACGGGACGGGGAATTGCGATACCGAAGGAGTGAGACGGAGACAGAGAGAGAGAGAGAGAGAGAGAGAGAGACAGAGATAGACGGTTCCTCTTTGTTTTGCTACCGCTGCAGACTCGCTCTTGCTTTATGTGTCTCACGCTGCTGCAAATCCCATTGGACCCACGCCCAGTGGAGCAGGCATAGCCGTGTTAAGTTTCTCAACCAGTGACTGGGGTCTTGTTGGCTACAACGGTACATTTTTGTTATATTAAAGCCCAATGAGGATTACACATGATCATTTACCCTAAACCCTAAACCCTAAACCCTAAACCGTTAATATAGCCCCAACAGGGAACCAGTTGATGCGAACCTCGGGCCAGAGGCTGCCAGCTTTGCTTTGTACTCGGACCTAGCCCCAAAATCTTCGCTCCAAGCTCTCATCTGTCTGGTGCTTAGTAGGGAATGGGGGAATGGATCCCTATGATAGTCCCTTAAGGTCCCTTACAGTAGTCCCTATAACCCATTCCCCCATTCCCTACTAAGCACCAGGCTGTCATTCCTGAGACTTCCCGGACCGACATTCTAAAGTCAAGGGCTCGGATCTTTAGGAGCCGGGAAAGACACGGTGGAAGCATCCCCCCTCCTTCCTTATGGGTTCATCGTAATTAAGTGTTACATTCATTAAACTCTCTTGTTTAGATTGCGTTTGCCGAGAGATCTTTCATTGTGTTATGCCCGGCACGACGCAGGGACAAATTCCTTTGTGAGGATCTTAGGGTGCATAATATAGGGGCCTGAATAATTGGAATAGGGTTTAGGGTTTAGGGTTTTAGGGTTTAGGGGCCTGAATAATTGGAATAGGGTTTGGGGTATAGTATACCATAGTTGTAATACGGAGCCCCCAAAACCCTATTCTAATTGTTAAGGCCCCTATCTTAGTGTCCTCAGATGGGGTCAAATGTATACTTTGTCTGTTACTTCGTGACTACGCTTCCGGGATCTTCCGAAGGATCTGTGTTCTTTATGGTGATTACGGAGTTCCTGTAGTAGATGGGCCAAAGTGTCGATTTTGTGAGCTATGTGTTTTTTTTGTAGATCTTGGGCATCCGCGCTTTGACTTAGGAGGGGGGGTTGCCGGTGCGGGTGCGGCTTGTAGTTCTTGTTGACAGTTAGGGTTTAGGGTTTAGGCCTTGAATTTAGCCCTGTGAACCATCGTTGTTGTCGCCCTAAACCCTAAAACCCTAAACCCTAAACCCTGGTAGATTTTGGGTCCTTTGGGTCGCTGTGGACTCTGGCAGAAAAACTGCCTCTAAGACCCTGGGTGGCTGCTGTATGTGGCCACCGTTAAAAGACGTCTTAAGAATGGAAAAAGTGCCACAAGCCCAATCGTTTTACCATGCAGACACCCTAAACCCTAAACCCTAAACCCTAAACCCTAAAGAGCCTATGAACAGTCTTCGACATGTATCCAAACAGCTTCGAGCGACCTTCCCCCCAACTGACAGTCCGAATCCCAAACAGCTTCAAACTTATGTAGGACACAGCAATAATTGTGTGCCATTTTCTGCAATTCAGGCATTTGTTTGTTCGTCCAGTCTTGGCAGGAATCCTACATTTTACTCAGGAAACCCAAACCTCAATCCACAGTTCAAGTTGAGCGTAATCCCCTATACGCCCTGCAGGCCCGAAGCTCCAAGCCGAAACCCTAAACCCTGGTGTCGTCATGTGCAGTGTTTGGGTCTGTTGTTGCCACCTTCACGATGTCCGTTTAAGATTCGGCCAGGGTTTGGGTTTACCTTAACCTACCAAAACCTACTTTTTTGTAGGGTCCCTGTAAATTCCATATTAGGGTTTATAATAGGAACCTACAAAAACGCAGGGTTTGGTAGTTTAAGGTAGGGTTCAGGATTCAGGATCGAGGTGTTATGATTTAGGACTTGCGGTTTCGGTCCCAGGCCCTCTTTGGCAGCCCATCCTATTTGCTTGAAATCCCGGAAAAGTCCCCGGCCCAAAACCTGTAGCTAGCAACTTAACAGCATCTCACTACACTTCTTTGAATGGCACTCTCGCTCCAGCTTACATTCGGATTTCAGCCCTTTTGGCGAAGCAGGCTGATAATTTGCTCCGACTTTGTTTGAAGCCTTTCCAGCTATCAATATCAGAATTGCCCTAGCGCTTAAAAAATGCCCTAACTCCTCCCAATCCCTGAACCCTAAACCCCTTGACCCAAACCCCGAATTCCCAGCGCTTTCAGTCCAGCCCCGGTCCGCTCCAGAGCCATGGAAGCATGCATACGCAGCCCGCAGCCTGAAGCTTCTTCCGGGTGCTGCACCGCGAATCCCAGGTTAGTTCCAGAGTCAAAAGTATCCGACCAGCCGCTGTCAGATGGTGAGGACGATGATTGTGATGATTATATGGAAATGGGAATGCATGCAGCTAATGCGCTTGAAGCTACGATGCCTCTTTGCCCTGACAATGTCCTTTCTGTCAGAAAGGACTCCATGTCGGACGTGGCTGTCAGAAGCCCGGGTGTTGATGCATCTGTGACGGATGGCACACAAGAGCAGCGAGTGACGAAGGCTTGTGCCGCCGTTAATTTTACCAATGACCTGGCAACGGCTGTCGAAGTTGTGCTGGGCACTGAGAAGCTGGTGATTTATCCTGGGAGAAATCACGTGTTCCAGATCACAACCACCTCAGACGCGAAGTTGACTGTTGCGTTGCGAGACGCTCCGGAAGTTTCAGCAGACTGTCATGTGGGGTCTGGGGCCGACTTGTTCCTGAGCGCATCCGGCTCCTTTGGGTCCTTCGGTGTGGCAGCCGCCCAGTTCCTGAAGCGAGAGCAACTCAGAGTTTTTAGGGTTTAGGGGTTTACGGGTGTTGAGTCGCTAGCATTTGTTACAGCTGACTTTCCTGTAGTGCTGACAGCTCTCTCTCAAACCGAAAATTTCCCGAAGGGTCCATGTACCAATTCGTAAAGAAAAAAATATCTTGCTGCTAATAAGTGTTCAGCAATGCAGGGTGCAAGGACCTCCAGACCCTTGTATCCTAAACCCGGAACCACCGCCGTACCCCTCTTTAACCCCTAAAAGAACTCGCAAGGAACCGTTAACTTTAGCATTGATGGCACTCGAGTAGAACTCGGCACTTATGAGGCAAGATCAGATCCAGCGAGAGCAGCACCTGCGACAGAAGCGACAACAGACAATGAAGAGGGAAGCTGCTTGGTCAGTCTTACGGCCTTACTGTTCCTGGTGACTTTGTGGTGTCTGGGATTCCTTTTGTGTTGAAAGAAGCTCCTCAAATCAAACTTTGTTTTCCTAACTTTCGTTCTTCAAAGGGACCAAGGTGACGCGACAAGAATGTGTCCGTGAAACATGGCTGTTCTTCCTTTGTTGCGGATTTGGGGCGCTGCTGGGTTCCCACTTGTTCGTCTGCTCTGCTGCATTTTGGTGGCGTCAGCATCTGCCTCTGTATGCTCAGGAGCTTGCAAACTTTCTCGAGGAGTTTGCCACACTTCTTGGGCTGGATTTGGAACTTCAGGTGGATGAGGCGCTGGTGGTGAGCTTGACTGCAAGTTCAAACGCCAGCTTCGTCGTGTTTTGGGGGAGCACCATGGGCGCCGAATTGTTGGCATGCCGTTGGGGTGGGCGCTACTGGAAGTGGTTCGTAAATCAGGGTGCGCAGAGTTGCATTCTCCTGGGTGCCATGGGGACGGTGTCGGCACTTGTTCGTTTCAGCACCGATGGCTTCTGGAAGAGCATGCTGGTTGGCCTGCTGTTCACACTGCCGGGTGCAGTGCTACTCTTGGCTTCGCCTGTTCTAGCATGCTATTCTTGTTATTTTGGCCCGGCGGATGATCATTGCAAGTATGCAGAGGGACGTGACGAACGACTTGCTACAGAACAGCTGCTTGTCTTCCAGGGCTGTGTCCTTCCAGGCCAGGGTTTGGAATGCGTGTGTTCTTGGCCTGGAAAGTACGAGTCTGCTTGGGACGTTATGGTCACAGCAAGCCGAAGGGGTGCTGTGAGTGCTGCGGTTGTCTTCCTGCCCGAGGGCTCAGAGCACTTCGGATGCCACGATCGGATCGCAACTCGCCATGGCCTGCAGGGGGAATGTTGGTGTGCACCGCTGTACGGGGAGAAGAAATTTTGGGGATGCCGCTGGTGGTCCAAGTGGATCTCCAATGTCGAATAGGCCGTTCGGGAAGGCGCTAAGCTCCAAGTGTTCTTCTTCAAGGGAATGACTGGGAAGGGCAAAGTGCGCGACTTCTCCACGGCTGGAACGGAGCATCTTCGCAGGGAAGCCATTGAGGCCAAGCTGAAGGAAGGTGGAGAGTTCTTGCAGTCGCCTGAGTTTCAATCCGCTGTGGATAATGGCCTCGAAGGCCTCTCCAGAGAGCGGACTACCGACAAATCTTCACAATACTCCAGGGAGAAGCAGCGGCTCTTTTGGGAGTGGCTTTCAGAGGAGGACAGGGACGTCATGAGAGCATCTGAAGGGCTAGGGAACTCACAGAAGGCAGAAGTAGCATGGCTGGAATTGAACGCCTATGCTTACGATGTAGTAGATGTATCCCCTTGGCTTCAATAGTCAGTTGGTATCACCACGCGAAAGGAGAGGTGTTGGGGCTGATGCGAGACAGACACCGAAGCTGACATTTCCAAATAGATTGAGCATGTTGTGCTCAGCTGGGCATGGTGGAACCTCTCGTTTGAGGCGAGCGGGTGCACCAACATGTCGATGAAATGGTGAACAAGCCATGGCAGCTCCGTTGAGCGGTGAGGGGTGCCCAGGGCCCACGGGACTTGCGTTTGGAGGAGTAAGGTCTTGACGCACTCTATGCCCCAACGCTGGGTTGGATTGCTCTAGCTGCTTGCTAGATCAGGCTTTCCCGTCCTCGGGCTTTGCTACAACCTGTGGTCATGTTTGGGTCGTCATCTTCCCAGACCTCAGCAGCATTCTGCAACCCGTCTAATCAAAAGCTACATAGGTTCGAGATCGTAAAGACGCCGGCTCATAGACAGTGCGTTCCGAGTTATTCTTGTCACGAAGCCCCGGTTGAGCACGTGATTCTGAAGCATATGATATCCCAAAGTCCTGTTCTGGTTGTCGAAGCCTCTGTAAAGCCTAGCCCAAACCAATTAGATGTTGGTTGTATTCCCTGTGTCTATGTATGTATACTTGGAGGGTCGGGAGACTTAGTAAGCAGGTAGTAACTAGACTGATAGGTGCCCTGTACGGGATCCTAATTAGGGTTGTGATGCTTATAGGTCTATAAAAGAACTACTTGCTAAGTCCCCCGAGCCTCCGACTACACACACACACA